TGCCTTCAGCAGTTTTTCTTTCTCCAACAGACAATCTATATTCAGTTCTGGTCATAACTGTAGAAACAGTCTCAGAGTCGGACGATGCGACGCCAGAGACGGAGAATCACCGACAATGCTGATGTCTAGCTGCTTGTTTCGGTCCCCGTCTAACCTATGACAAAGCTCAAGGACATCAGTTGGTGATTTGGGTGGAGTTCTTGCTGTCAAAGAACTTTTCGAGAAGATCTCTGGCGTATCCACGATCTCCCCAGGTTCCGTCTCCATTGCGGTGTTCTGCACAATAACATCATTGTTAAAAGTAAGCTGATTGACAAATTCAACTCTAAGCCTTGTGGGACTGCCTTGTGTCGGAGTTGGGTAGGAGAAATGATCTTACGCTCTGCTGGGTGCCAGGACACTCGGGCATAAAAGGTAATGAAGCTGCAGATAGATTGGCAAACACTGCCTCTGCAACTACTAATGATAGGCCCACAACCCTTCTGTGGCATCTCACGAAACAGCGAATGTTCTTCGATTGTGTCATGGGCCAAAGAAAAGCATCGCAAGCGCTGGGTCGACACTCCCCTTCTTAGGGTCAGCAAACTTACTCTGTTTAGACCTTCCAAAAAGGTTGCCTCTGACCTCTTGATATAAGACTAGACGAAGAATCAAACTAATTGTTGAACTGATAACTGGTCATGGGCGAATCAGGAAACATTTACAACGGATGGGCTTATATGATGGTGAACCGATCTGTAGGCACTGTGATAGGTCAGAAGAGACAGCCGATCACCTACTCTTTGATTGTAACGAGATCTCTGATGCTAGAATGATAACTCTTGGGAATCTGGCTAGAGGAAGATATCTTCTCGAGGATGAACTTATTGGGAAGCTACAGGCATTCATTGGACGCCTTAACTTGTAAGGTCAACAAGAAAACAATTGTCTGGGGTGAGCAATAATTCAATTACGGATGAGTGCTTAAAAGTCTCGACCTGCCCCTGTAAGATAGGATAAGATAAAAGCTGATTGTTACCCTCCCCAGAATCCATGGGCTTGTCCCCCAAAAAGGAGGAGTGGGATTCTCCGCTTGAGCAGGTACCCACCTGGGGTAATGATTCTGTTTGTTTACGTTCAGCCATGACAAGAAAAACAAAATGTTATCAGTTTAGCAGCCGAACCGTGACCCACTCACTATGCCTGCTAATGCCCAAGACTGGACCCTTTCGGGGTTGGATCCCTCGTCTCCAGCTGAGTCCTGTCACAGCTGCACACATACCTGTAACAGTTTGCGGTTGCGTTAACTATCTGGGCCTTGGCCGGATGGTTGATTGTCACCTCCGCCCAAGGTCAGTACTAGAGCAGCCGCTCCCCTACCCTAGGGCTGTCTAGTCACGACACAGCCAGCGCTAGATCCGCTGCCTTTAGCGAGTGCAGAGACACCCCTAGCAGGCTGTGCATTTTTCTTTTTTTATTTTTTTTTTAGGGAGAGGTGGGAAAATGCATTTATGCACACAGGTGGCTAGCCTGTAGTGTGGGACTCCAACGGGCTTAAGGCCCAGAGACTACCCACTAAAAACCTCCTCTACTCTTCGGACACTAGCCTGGGAACACTTGTCGCACTTCATCAGAACTAGGCAGAGTTTGCCTACGCCCGAGGGGCTTACGCCGTGTCTAGCCGTTTATTTCTTATAAAATCTAGACTGTGATCCGATCTAGATCGTTGTTTTTAGCTTGAAGGACATTCCGGACAAAGTGCAACCAGCAGTCCCAGTTGTCCTCACCCTTCAGCAAGGTCTCACAAATTGATTCAATCGACAGCACCCCAAGATGTTGAATGGCCTCCTGGCGAAGCATATCCCATCGTGGACAGTGGAAAAAAGTGTGTTCCGCGTCGTCGGGAATGCATGGGCAGTAAATGCAGTCAGGTGAATTTGTTTTGGCCATCAAGTGCAGGTACGACTGAAAATAGCCGTGACCTGACAAGAACTGCGTGAGGTAATAGTCAACCTCACCGTGCCGCCGTTCCACCTACGGTTGGACCTGTCTGATGAGTCTGGCAGTCCAACGTCTTCGAGTCTCCCTTTCCCAGCTTTCTTGCAATTCCCCAGGTTATTGTAATTTCCATCTATAGAACTCCTTATGAAAATAATTTAAAACAATTTTTAGATAAGCTAGAATCTCTCCTTTGTAAACTGCAAAAGTATATAAAAACACATCAGATATACATAGCAGCAGACTTCAACATAGATATTTTACCAAATTCACACTCACCTAATAATAGAACAAAGTTTTTAGACTTAATTAATATGTATGGCTTGAATATAAACTTCTGTTCACCAACCAGAATAACACATGACACAAGTACCTGCATTGACAATATTTTAACCAATGATGTTCTGAGACCAGAAGTAAAGAGGTCCAAAATGAATCTTGAATTAGGTTTTTCGGACCATAGGGCACTTTTTATTGAAATTCCAAGAAATAAATTGTTGGATGAAAAGACAGGTTGCAAAAGAAGGTTGTTTTCACAAACAAATAAGGCTTTATTTTATAAATGTATTTCAGAAATTAACTGGAACTTATCACTTGTAAAATACGCTCAGACAAATGTTGATAGTTTCATGCATGACTTTTTAGTTAGTTTTGACCATTGTTTTCCACTAAGGTTTTTCTAAAAAAAATTACAAAAAGACAAATTTAAAAAAAGCTGGGTAACCAAAGGAATTAAAGTATCTAGAAACAAAAAAAGACAATTGAGTATTATTGCCAAAACTAACCAGGACATTAATTTTCAAAAGTATTACCGAAACTACAGGAAAATATTTAAAGCTGTTTGTGATAAAGCTAAGAAATTGTTTAACTGTAAGATAATATCGAGCGCTGATAACAAAAGTAAAGCGGTGTGGAGTGTTGTGAAGTCTGAGCTTGGAGTATTAAATGCCAAAAATGTAGACTTCCCGGATGTGTATGTAGAAGATCAACAGGTAAAAAATGGTCAAACCATTGCTAACCTCTTTAATGAAAAATTTGCTAATGTGTCCAAAGATAATAATTTTAACTCCTGTATCCATACAGCAACTGAGTTAACAAATAAAATTTATATTAATTCAGATATAAATTTTCAATTCAGAGATATAACAGTGTCAGATGTTAAAAAAACTATTAAAAAATTAAAAAACAAAAAATCTGTTGGATGGGATGAGATTCCTATCGAAATAGTTAAGAATGTAACTAATTTTATTGCACAACCACTTTGTCTGATAATTAATCAATGCTTTGATGAAGGAATTTTTCCACATCAACTGAAAAATGCAGAACTAAAACCACTGTATAAAAAAGGTTCACCGGGAAATCCTGAAAACTATCGTCCCGTATCCATTTTACCATGTTTATCAAAGGTTTTTGAAAAACTTGCATACAACCAAATTTATTCATATTTTGAAAATAATTTCTTATTCACAGAAAAACAATTTGGGTTTAGATCTGGAAGAAACACAACAGTGGCTGTCTCAGAGTTCATAAATCAAGTATCGGCTGGCCTGGATGGATCGCAGAGTACTGCGGCGATGTTCTGTGATCTATCCAAGGCGTTTGATTGTGTGGATTATGACGTTTTAATGAGTAAACTTCGACATTATTCATTTTCTGGCATGGCTTTGTCTTGGATTGATTCTTATTTAACTAACAGGAAACAAAGAACATCAGTTATAAAAAATGGCAAAAAGTTTATCTCGAATTGGCACAAAGTTAAATATGGTGTCCCACAAGGTTCGATATTGGGTCCTTTACTATTTTTAATTTTTGTGAATGATGTACCTCAAAATGTATCTTCTAGCCTCATATTATATGCAGATGACACTATACATCCATAGTTAAAGCAAAAGATATACCCAATCTAAAATTATAACTCAACCGCTCACTCATAGATTTGTCCAGTTGGTTTACAGTAAATGGGCTTCAACTCAATAGTTCTAAAACACAGGTTATATTATTTCAAACAATCCAAAATAGAGAGAATCAAAATTTTGAATTACGCTACCAAAGCGATACTTTACCATTCGTTGAAGATACAGAGTTCTTAGGCTTAATTATTGATAAAAATTTAACCTGGAAACCACACATAGACATGATAGTAAAGAGGCTGAATACAGCCTGTTCTCAAATGTATGTTTTAAGGAATATAATTGATCTGAAAACTAAACTTACTGCATATTATGCAATGTTTTATTCCATCATGCAGTATGGAATTGAACTATGGGGCTCAACTTCATATGCCGACACAGTTTTTAAAAAACAAAAGAAGTATTTAAGAATCCTATCTTTTGCATCAAAAAGAGCATCATTTAAACCTATTTTAAAAAAATACGACATATTAACAATGCCTTCTCTATATATATTTAAAATGATGGTTTCTTTAAAAAGTAACTACCAATCATATGACAACAATCAATTCATCCATCAATATCCTACTCGTTTTAAAAATAATTTGAAATATCCAAGACATCGCCTCTGTCTGTATGAAAGATCACCATTTTATATGAGTCTCAGGCTTTACAACAGTCTACCTACCAAATTCAGACAAATTACCTGTATATCAAAATTCAAAAGCGAGTTTAGAATGTATCTCTTACAAAAACAGTTTGAATCTGTCTCTGAATATTTAAATAACAGTTAAACATTTTTCTATTACATTTATTTAATTTATAGGAATGAATTGTAAATCTAGTTTTAATAATGGACAATGTCACCTGTTTCATCAGCATTGCTGAAAAACTTGAAATATATTGTGACAATAAAGGAATATTTTATTTCATTTCATTTCATTTCATTTCTTGCCACATCTGAAAAGTGCGGGAGCGCTCTTCCGTTCTTGCAGCGTCCTTTCCGATGTAGCCTTGTCTCTGGTAGATTGCCTTCCTCTCCGCTGCCAAGAGTTTGACAGGGATAACTCCAGCAATCACCAAAACGGCCGGTTCGGACAGCGTACGGTACGCAGAAGCGACCCTGAGTGCCGCCTAACGCTGCACTCGTGCGAACCTCGACCTGTACGCCTCCTTGTTAAGCGCGTCTGCCCACACCTCAGAGCCGTAGAGAAGCACGGACTGGACTGCAGACATCAATAGTCTTCTACGGCTGGACTGGGGACCACCGACATTGGCCATAAGCCTACTAAGAGCAGCAACACTCCTAGCAGCCTTGTCCGCCGTACGGAAGATCTGGTCCCTCCAGCTCAACTTGTTGTCCACCATGACACCGAGGTACTTGGCGGTTCGCGTGGTTTGAACAACTACGTTCCCAACTCGTAGCGGAACGATGGTTTCAATCCGTTTTTTCGTGAGGATGACGATCTCTGTCTTGCTCAGAGCGAGTGTCAGACCATGATCAGTCATCCAGGCATTTACAACGCGCATGACTTGGTTCAGTTTCAGTTGGGCTAGCTCAACGTTGCGTGCAGCAATGAGGGCTGCAACGCGTACCCAACTAAAACGGTCTCCTCTGGCATCTCAGATCTCAGAAGGCTGTCGTAGGCAGCGTTCCACAAATCTGGGCCGAGTATCGAACCTTGCGCGGCACCGGAAGTAACATCCATCGTCCGCGAACAATCTTTAGTTTCGAAATTAAGAGTTCTGCAGCGCAGGTAGTCCTCGATGAGCCTCAACAGATATGCTGGTACGCGGAAGCTGTTCCTCAACGCGCTCAACATATCGACCCATCTCGCCGAGTTAAAAGCATTCTTGACATCTAGCGTAACAAGAAGCACGATACGGCGAGAGTAATGATTGAAGCTCTCGGCACGCTCTACCGCTCTGTGCACCTCGGATATCGCGTCGATTGTTGACCGACCCTTTCTGAAGCCTTACTGACGAGGAGACAAATCTCCGGCAGCTTCCACGGCAGACGTCAGTTGGCAGCGGATCAGTTTCTCGAAAAGTTTTCCGGCCGCATCCAACATACAGAGGGGTCTGTAAGACGACGGCATATTCGGGTCACCTTTCCCCTTGCTGATTAACACAAGCCTAGCCCTTTTCCAAGGAGTTGGGAAAACCCCTTCGCACAGGCATGTGTTGTAGATTCTCAGCAGTAAGAGGGGGTTAACTGAGAATACCTTCTTGAGAGCCTCACTGGGAATACCATCAGGACCAGGTGCCTTTCTATTTTTCAGGGAGAGGACAGATGATTCCAGTTCTTTAATGCTAAAGAGTGGAATGTCCCCTAGCAGGCTGTGCATAGCACAGCCTGCGATGCTAATAATATGAGCCCCCTCTTACTGCTGAGAATGTACAACACATGCCTGTGCGATGCTAATAATATGACGATATGTTTCTTTCACTCACATTATCTCAGTAAAATATAGATCCTTTACGAGCAGTGACTCGACTCGCTGTGAGGAAAGATTTTTTCACTTCTTACCATTTTTGTATGTTTGTTTCAAGGATCTATCGTATCTTTATGCTAATAATATGACGATATGTTTCTTTCACTCACATTATCTCAGTAAAGTATAGATCCTTTACGAGCAATGACTCGACTCGCTGTGAGGCAAGATTTGTTCACTCCTTACCATTTTTGTATGTTTTTTTTAAGGATCTATCGTATCTTTATTTTTTTTTCACTGTACAAAGAGTTTCCAATACAGTATTGCACTGCAAAAGAAAGCCTCTCAAGAAGATAGGTAGGCTTAAGAAGGGCCTTATTCATCATGCAGAGATATAGCGCTGTATATATTTTTAGATTTAAAACAATGTAATTGTATTGTTATCATCAATTGAGATGGGGTAGCCACTAGACGTATCTTAACCCAAATACAAGTGAGGAATGGAGTGAGATGCTTTATTACTGACTAAGACCAGCTGTTTGTAAAGCCATGACCATTTATTATAAAGCTTATTGATCAAGGACAGCTGACTCAGTTTCCAACGATGAAAAAACTTTTTCTCAGGATGGAAAGGGCAAGCTTTTGATTGCCGAACGAACACTATAAACACTTAGCAATTACTACTATGGAGAGAATCACCTAAAATTTAAACTATACAAAGGGAAGACAAAACTTTTATTCTTTTGCCTGCTTCAACATTAACAGCCTAGGGATTAATAATGAGGCTTGATAATCCAAGAAAACTACAATGGAAAAATACAGGACAGGTCAATAAGAAACTAAGCTTGATAACAGTATGCTCTATTTAATGAAACAATACAAAACATGACAAATTACATGTCATCTTAACGTAATGAACTACAATACAAGTTCAATAAAAAATCTATGACATTCAAATCATACTAAAGAGAAACTAAGAATCAAAGATCATTTTTTTTATTTAATCTTTTTTATGATCTTTGTTAGAACATTGATTTTATCTCTCAAGCTGAATCAGAGCTTAATAATTGTAAACTTTTTAACAGTAATATATCAAAAACCATGTCAAAAACCGTGAAACACTAACGCTCACCGACGTTTCGGCCTCGACACAGAGTGCCCAGGGCGACTTGACTCCCCACAGATGAAAAATGAAGTCTCAACAACCCTTGATTTTCATCTTTGCGGAGTCAAGTCGCCTTGAAGATGGCACTCTGTATCGAGGCCAAAATGTCGGTGAGTGTTAGTGTTTCATCGTCTTTGACTTTGTTGTCACCAGAAGACCACGATTGTACTCTAAGTAAGGAATCTTTTAAAAATTGAATTTAAACTTATGATTTTGTAACATAATAGATTATATTGTATAGACCTCATTATGAAAATTTACAAATACCCTACTCTACAGTTCATAACACCTGTACAAGATCATTTACAGCACACTAATGATCTTCCTACATGAAATTTACAAATAATGATCCAACACATTTAAAATTTCTCAATGATTTGAGAATAGTACTATGAAATTAAAAGTAATCAATAATGGAGTGTGTTTGTGAAGCAATACATTTTCTTAATCAGTTTGCCTACTTCATGTCAAATACTGAACTTTATTTAATCAATGTTTGTGTCATTATTTTTCATGCTAAAAATTATTAGTCTCTTATCGATAGATTAACAAATTCAAGAAAAATGTAAAAACATTATTATTAAGAAAACTTGTTACTCAATTATTGAATTTTGAAATTAATAAAGTAAATTACGTTGTTAGCTTTATTTAGATGTAATATTGTTAGAAGGCTAATTTATCTACTTATTTTTATCAGCCAATTTACCCCATAGAAAAGTAGCTATTACCGTAGGTGGCACAGTAAGATCTAGGTTTGGGACCGATTTACTTTTCCATTTTTATGTCCCCAGAGGTATATATATGTTTATATATATATATATGTGTTTGTGTGTGTGTGTGTGTGTGTGTGTGTGTGTGTGTGTGTGTGTGTGTGTGTGTGTGTGTGTCCGTGAATACGATAACTCAAGTAATTTTTAGCCGATTTTCATGACTTGACTTCAAACTTGAATGAGTTCGCAAAGCCGCATAATCAGACCATGGGTTTTTCCCATTTTCGACCCTCAAAACAAAACATTTCCCTACTTCTAAAAAATGATGAAGAGCTTAAAAAACAAATAATTTAGTATATTAAAGTGTTTTTGAACGGTTATTAGTAATGGAGAAAATTAAAAAACTGTAAATTTAAAATTCCTGTTTTATTCTTATGGAGAGCAAGTAAACTGTTATAGTTTGCTTGTTTAAGTAATCAAATATGGAAAATTTGTTTATTACACCTTATACTATTAAAATTTGGTAAAAAAAACTCTTTTTACCTTCCCCATACCAGCAAACCTAAGTACCCATAAAATCTGGTGTTATTTAAACTAGCTGTTACCCACAGGCTTCACCCCGTTTGACTTCATAAGTACTGTATTAATAAAACTATTGATTGGTAAAGTCATAGACAAAAATAATTAAATAGGTTAAGCTGAAATAAACAAAGCAGAATACAATAGAAACTAATAATCACACCTGATTTTAATAAGGTAATAAATTGAAAGAATAACCATAGATAAATCATACTCCCTTAGTAGATTTGTCATCCTTATGGACCAGCTGAAGCCAATTTTATTGTTGGTTTTGTACGTCCAACTGTAGAGGTTATGTTTTGTTTACAATTTGTTTCTTGTTATTTCAGTCGTTTAAAATCTCATTTAACCAAATAAAACGATTTAATCATAAACAATAACTGGTCTCCTACTTATATAACCAAATAGTAAAGCACAAATCATGAAAATAACCCTAAAATAATAGAAACAAAATGTTGTCTACCCCAGCGATCAGTGTGGACGTACATGAACTAGACACAAAAAACAAGCTTCAAAATTTACAATGGGATGAGGAGTCTACTTGTGTTGCTTAGTCTATGGAATAACATACAAATAAGTACAGCTGAGGTATTTTTAACATTAGGTGTATCGAAAGTTCCCTTTGGAAAGCAATTACGACCTTAAAGGGTAATTTATGAAATAATGGATAGTTTTGCGCAAGGTTTCTCGTCATGCCAAACATTTTAAGTATATGGTTTATGGGGATGTGACTAGTAGTTTTCTAAAAAGTTCATGGGTACTTTGGGCTTTATATATGGATAAGAGATAAAATATGTCTTTTTATGGAGATATTTTAGTATGAATCCAATAGACAAATTGAAATTTGCTTAAACTGAATGTTTGCTGCGGCGGGGGTATTTCTTAGAAATAATATCTGATACCATTCATAGTACGTACATATTACGAATAAATAAATACAGTATTTGATTTTAACAGTTTCTTTCATAGACAGACAATGAAGAGGTACTATAGACCTTTAATGTAGCTTTACTGTGGCATTGAGATTAACATCATCTATAGTTAAGACAGATATTTTGTTGCTTTATATTATAAATAACAATTAATAGCGTGTTTGAACGAGTTTTTATTTTAAATAAGCTAATTTTTTGACAACATTATAATCGATAGATAATAATAGACAATAGATAGTTTATATACAATTAAATATTTGAACAACCATTAAAGCACACACTCCAATATGTTTTCCTTATTTATACCCACCATCGAGGTGCTTATAACCAGATTTTGATTAGTGGTTATATCTAGTCTAGTTATTTTTGGAACCATAGAAAAGGACAATAACTATTCTGATCTTTACTTGAAAATGTAATTGAACTGAATAAATAAATTGTAATATAATAAAATGTATCTATAGTTTTATAAATTAGTTAAAATATTATTATGTATCAAATATATTATTCACAATATCTAAAATACAATAATTAACCATTCTGAACATGAAAAATTAAAATAGCTCGAAAAAAATCCGTAAAAATAAAAGTTAGTTTAATTTTTTCGCTATACATATTAATTATTTTTCAACCGAAATGGTTAGGTGTAGTATACATAGAGGGCATAGGCATGATTGGCACCATGGGGTAAGCTGCCAATGCTGGTGGTGGGGAGTAGAAATTGGATCCTGAACTGTGAAGTGCCGACGATACAGATGATCTCTTGCCGACCATTTCTGTCATCTTATCTGCTTTCACTCTTCTCAAATGCATCAACTTGCGATGAGTAGAAAACTGTTCTAGAAATCCTTCAACAAATAGGGTGCCGTCCAGAAGCTTTGAGGCTAATGCCTGTAAAAGTAAATTACTGAGAGTTAGATAACATGTAAGCGTAAGTATATATATTGAATAAAATTACTATTTTGTTGTTTGAGGAATTATTGCATTACCAATAATAATTTTTTTTTTTTTTTTTAAGAGTAAAAAACTATTATTTAAGATGTTTCTTGCTGGAGTTTTGTTTGAACCACCATCAAACAAGTTGAAGCAGACAAGTCCTTTGTGCTCACCTACATAACACACTGAGGTTGCTACGACGACGTTTCCTAATACATCATACATCATGCAAACTGTCATACAAACTATCCTTACGACCAACTTCAGACTCTCTCTACCTCAAATGCTCATTTTATACTTCCAAACACTATAATATGTTCACGTTAGTGAACTGGAGATGAATTTCAATTGCGGTTGAATCCTTAGACCACAGAAATCGAATAACAAAATGTGATTCATACAGGGCGGGAGTGTTGATTTTCATTAACACATTATTTCGGCCAATGAAGACTAACTGTTGTATTGGAGGCTAGAACAGTAGGTCTAAACAATGAAGTAAAGATTACAGTGTTGGTGTCAGATTTGAACTGGTAACTTGGCCGTGAAGGGAACTAGTTGCAGATCATAATTGATCGACAGCCGGTGTACATCCTAATCCACTAAAACTTTCCAACCCTATCTAAATTGTTACAGTGGAACCTCGATAAGAAGACCCTCGATAACAAGTCGCTCTTGATAACAAGTGTATTTTTCAAATCCCCTTGAATTTATTTTACCTCTAAACACATATTATTGCAAACCTCAATAAGAAGTCAACCTTGATAACCAGACTAATTTTATAATCACCATGAGAGTCTTCTTATATAGGTTCTACTATTTATAAATTCTTTTTTTGTTGTTTGAGTTGTGAGTACAGTAAACTCCTCGACTATCCGAGCACTGCAGTGCCATGGTTATCTGAGCTATCGGGTTAGTCAAGGTTGTTTCAACAGCTTAATTTTTTGTTGGACAAATAATAACGTTATAAAGTACCTATGTTTCTGTTAAAAGTAACACAAAAATAGCGATTAATTTGCGATGTGTTAATCGGGAGCGTAATGTAATGTGTTTTGTTTAGGTCTATTCTAAGAAAGCCTGATTAAAATTCTCTATACTACACAATGGACACACAACCACTGTTCTGGCATTGCCTTTGGTCACTAGAACTGTATCTATCACCTTGCCAAGGGGTCATGTTGATAAACAAATTTAAAACCTGTTGCATTCATTTTACAATTTTAATGACAAAATCAACCAATTTATATTTTGGAGTGTTCTTATTTGTGATGAGAGAAACATATGTATCTAATAAGTTATAAATATACTAATATTAATGTATGGTGGTATGAAATGTAAAAAAAACACCTACCTCAGATTCCTCTTCCATTTCAGAAGCGGCAGTTTGTAAAAGTGCCAAAGTTGTTTCTAGGCTTTGGTTTGATCCTTTTTGAGCTGAAAATAACACAATGCCACATTAACCCTCCGAGTGTCCCTTGTTTTTGCCTTAATGTCTGCCTATTTTTTGCTCATTTGCAAGGTTTTATTAAAACGGATCTGAGAAGCTTGAAAACAATGTTAATTATACTGTTCTATATACCATTTTGTTTGGAAAATCATGGACTTCAATATTATACATAAAACATAAGGAACATTTGTTTCAAAAAATTTTTTTAGGTAAATAAGAATATTTTGGAAAATTTTGAAAAAAAAAAATTAGTTTGCGCTCAATGAAATTGTATAAATTATAGGCCTATAAATATTTGAAAATAGCCACTTTGTTCTAAATTTTATGAGGATTACAAATATATAATAATATAAGGAAGTAGATTTGCAAATAAATAAGTTATGGGCAAAAAACAGATTTCGGTACATAACGTTTAGCTAAGAATGCATAGCCTAACCATAGCTAGGAATCTGGCTGATAATTTACATCAATATCACTACCTACTTCTTCAGGATCATCAACCAGCCCTTCAAAATCACTTAAATCTTCTTATAATGCACCACGTATATCACTACTTTTGATTTTTAACACTAAAACAATGATAAACGTAATAAAACACATCAGTCATCGGTGCGAGGTTAACCAAGCTGTTTACAAATACGCACGTCAGCTGTCTGCTACAATATTTTCGGAACTAAAATGAAAAGCGCTTAGAGACAGACCTCCGGAGAAAGCTCTGAATCTGCAAAATAAAATGATACCTAACTCGATCCAGTTCAATCTGATTTTGTCAGTCATAGAGCCTTCGCCGTAAACAGTGTTTGTGAGTCGATGCATCGACACAAAACACTACACAAAAGTGTGTTATGTGTCGACGCATCGACAAATAACACTCGGAGGGTTAAAGATTTATATTTCAAAGCAAATTTCCAATAATGATGTTCAGAAAAACTTCAACTATCAAAGGACCAGATCTATCAGGCTGCAGGTAATGTGTAGTCTGGAATTTGTAATATTAGATCTATATGACCCTGAAACATGAGGGTAAAATGTAGTTCAAGACTGATGAGTGTGAATCAACCTTCATCCATTAAAGGCCCAAAGATCAAGGACAGCTGGATTAAATTAAATGCCTTTCTTCGTTCCCATAAAAAACAAGTTTGAATCATTAATTTGGAAAATTGTATTTCTAATGTTTTACAGAGACAATTCCACTCATGAAAAGGATTTATCAACTTACAAAGCTCTTTAGATTTAGCTTCTATTCTGTTGAACAGCTGCTCTCCCTCCTCACTAAGCTGTTGAATTTCTTGCTTTGTCTTTTTCAGATGCGGCTCTTTTGACAGGTTAAACTCAGCCAAGGAGCGATTGCTTGCCAATACCATTTCTTTTTCAGTTTCTATTTCCTTAAACTGAAACAGATTAGGTACATGTTTTACATTAGAACTGACACACAACCTAGAATGAATTTTAATTTAATAAGTAAATTATTCAAACTTCATCTTTCTATAAAGAGCCATCCTTTTGTCTAAGGACCAAAATTATTGACAGCAAGTTTAAACGATATAGGCTAATAGAATAGATTTTCTTGTAGTACCTAAATGAATAATTACTGTGCGCTTTCCTACTTTAGCGTATACGCAGGGTGGCGGATAGGATGATCTGCTTGTCAGTCTTCCCAAGTAGGTCTTAGGGACCCGCTGATCAAAAGTAGGTGCAGACTTGCATTCATATTGGGGGTTGAGCATGGGGCCAACTACCATATCTTGTAAAAACCCAGTTACGATGCATCAAGAACTAGCCTCGGACTGGACTGGATGCGATGGAAAATGACCCAAGCTATGCCTAAAGGACTTGAGATTCGGCACATGAAACATAAGGACCCTGGCAATACCGGGAGCAGTGGATATTTTAAATGACGAGTTGGAAAAGTACAAAATGGGCGTTTTGGACCTACAAGAGGTTTTTTGGCCTCTATGTGGCAAATTAAACACTGAAAGCAGTACAATTTATTATAGTGGTAGAGAGGATGGAAGAAATGAAGCAGGAGTGGGTGTGGCAATAAAGAACAGTCATTTAGAATCCCTGATGAGCTTCGAGGCTGTGAATAAAAGATTGTGTATGATTAGATTATGAAGTAAATTTAGGAACGTGTCCAGGGGTAGCTCCAGGAATATTTTTTGGGTAGGCCTGACAGGATCAAGAAAAAGTTTGATCGGGGAATGAGAGGTTTGAAGGGTTTCCCTGCAAAAAGAGGGAAAATCAAATATGTTGTATCAGATAAAGCAGAGAGCACTGAGAACTCTATGAAGACCAAGATATATTAGCTATTGTTGAGAGCCGCAGATTGAGGTAGACAGGACAAAGAGAGAAGAGAAGTAAACAGTCTCCTGAAGTTAGCAACGGTACCAATGAACAACCACGAGGGACCCAACCTCTAGGAAGACCTAAGCTACGGTGCGGTGGCCAAGCTAGGAAAGACCTTCAGCAGATGGGGACATCAATAACCAAGCAGCAGACAGGCAACAGTGAAGGCAATATGTTGGGCAAGGCCAAAAACCTTCTTTGGTTTTCTAAATGACCAAGGAGGTAAGGTAAGGTAAAGGAATAATTAAATTATTTTATAGGTAGGAGGCAATTTACCCTTAATCATGGGTGGTTTTAATACAACAAAAAGTCACTCATTGTAGTATTACTTCAGTAGTCCCTTTAGCAAATAATTAATTACATAGACTGGCTAACACATAGCATATAACACTGGCAAAACTCTTAAAATATTAAAGGGATATAGGCCTACCGGTAACAAATAAAAAAAACCAATGCAGTTAGCTTTTTGCTATCCCAAACCTTGCTATGTTGTTAGCAAGGAAAGATTTTACCATGCTTAATTACCACAATGTATTGTTGAAGTTACTCAATTTTTTTTTTATATTTAAAACTGGGTAGACTGTGTTGTGATACACTATTATAAAAAATAACCATAAAACATATAGCCTATACAATTTAAGCTTAACTGATGGATGTGACTCGGATTTTTGCGAAGGCGAGTGGCTCATTCGATTGTAACAGTTCTTTTATGGAATAAAATACAAAGGGCTTACTGAGTAGGCTCTGGCAAAGTTAAAATTTAGGCTGAATTGCTTCGGGACTAGGGCACGGATACTTGTCAGTAGAATATTGAACAGTTTGATGGCAAGCAAAGGATACGAATTAAGAGCGTGACTAAGCCGGCAGTGAGGTATATCGAGGTCACAAGCTCTATGAGCCCTGCAAGTTGTGCTGCACATGTTTCTGGTTGAGAAGTATGTTAAGTTATCTATCCAAAGGACTAGAGTGATGATTATGATTACATACTGGCTGTACACTGAAAAAATGCCAAGTTCTTCGAAAATAGGCCGGCAGTGGTTAGGCCACAGGATGTCATAGTACCTTAATGGTTAAAGAAGCTAGAAGCTATAAAACCTTTAACACTTAAAATTACCCTGATAAATAATAACCAATGGTTCATATTAAAAACATATTAAAAACAAATAAATTTACCTCTTTAACATCCTTTACCATACTTTCAAACTTGTCTTCGTCATTCAAATAAGCTCTTAATTCATCAACATCGAGATGAGATAATAACCCAAAAGCAGATGAGAAGTTTGGTTTTGGATGTTTGTTTTCTTGATACATTTTATTCCAGTCACTTCCGAAGGACATTTTAAATATGAATTTAAACTTTCTAGCACGCACAATAAAAGTTAAAAAGAATCTATTTATGGGCACAAATAAAATGTTATCCTAAAATTAACCTCGAAATATTATGACAGTGCAGTGACAGTTGGGTGTCGTGTCTACGAACGAAAACGAAAACAGAAACAGACAATCTACCTACAATCTACAATACAAACTACGACGAAACGGCAAGAATAACAACTTCAGACAGAACCTTCTTCTGTTAACTAAAACTGATTCAAGCCATTGATTATGTACACCGAAGTTCTTCACATTTACAAATATTTCTTTTGTTTTGTCATCAAAGCTGGCAACATCAACTGAATGATTCAAAACCAAAATTAACAATATAATTTAATAACATTCTTGAGACAAGCATTAATCAATGCGTACAAATTTCCTAGTTTAAAAAGGATGAACTATGTCTTTATAGTGTAGAACTTATAAAGGCTATCTTTTCAAAGGATAATGAGATGAGTTACTCATCTCATACTGCTCTAATACTGCTCTTCATGACTTATCTTTTGCCGGCTACACCACGCACGCTACTGTAACAGTATGTAGTATTATACTTGTCCAATTTTGTTTAATGTTTAGTGTTTTCGTGTGTTTAACGACTCTTCCCAGTTATGAAGAGGATTTGTGTGTTTGGAATGTGTTTTAACTATGGTAACAGCTTGAAAATGAACCTTTAGGTTCAAAACCTGGGTCGCTGACCTAAATCTAGGATCACTAACAGTACTACAGGTATTTAACCTTTTTATTACTAAAACCTTTATTCAAATCATCAACAAGGTTATTGAGGTTGGTGGAATAAAAACAACAAGGGTAGGAAAGCGGAAGCAAGGGATAGATCGACCCTTGAAAGTTATTCTGAAGATTTAATTATTGAACTAAGTTACCTTAAGCCTTTGTTCTTGCTTAACAAAAAAGGGCTGTTCTTGATTGCAAGAACAAAGGCTTGAGGTAACTTAGTTCAAATAATTAAATATTCTAATTCTTGCCACTATGAAAATGCATAAAATATTCTGAAGAGTCCAGCTGACGTACAGTTGTTATTAAACAATATCTTGCCTAATCCGATAGACGAGCTAGACCAATGTTTCTCTTCAGTGAAGATCTCTAAATATAGGACACTCCGGGAACTATGTGATACTTCAAATCCTTGAAAACTGACATTCAAAGAAGAGAGGCAAATGGTGAAAAAGAGCTTAAAATTAAACATCGTAATGACATCCCTCTTATATAGTACAGGACCAAAAAAACTAATAAAGTCATACGGATCCCAATCAAATTAAAAAATTATTTTCAAAACGTCAACTGCATTAGAAGCAAATTACCTCAACTGTTTAGATCCATTTCTAAAATTTCTATGTCATAATTGTACTGGTTGAGACCAACATGAATTCATATATTGCTGACTCAGAGCTGGGATTCACAAATTCTTCAATCTTTCGGTATGATAGGTCCGAGCAATCGATCAAGAAGGGTGATGGAGTTTTGGTGGCTGTGAGAAATACCATATCAAGTTATGAAATACAAACCTCTAGCTATCCCCAGTGTTGAATGTGTTTTTTTGACGTGCAAAGTATCTTGTACGTCCATTATATATTGTGGGTGCTGTCTACATACCTGCAAATCAGCCAACTTCACCTTATTCTGATCACTGCCTTGTAGATTAAATAATTGTTGGCTTTTGTTCAAATGCTGATAAAATTGTGCTCATGGATTACTTCAACCTACCAAATATAGATTGGGCAACCTCCTCGTCTATCCAATCAACGGGCAGCATTTAAGTTGGTTTCCGATATGGCGGCAACAAATTACAACCTTGACCAGTTTAATATAGTGAGGAATGGCAGAGGAGTTACACTGGACTTAATTTTTTCGTCATTTCATCCTGAAATCACTAATGCTGATGATATCCTGGTACCCGAAGAAGCTCATCATCCTGCCCTGAATGTTGACTTGGTTGTTCATGGTACAACATCTTCTCGTCATAGAACATTTATTCTAGACTACAAGAGACGTTACCTTGGTGCAATCTTTACCATACAGCATTTTAACTTACCCACCCCAATGATATCGGAAACCCGCTAAAAGACTTTGTGGAATTTCATTAATGGTTAACCAGTCAAATAATGTTTTACACCTAAGAAAATTGGTGGTTCTAATGTGGATTATGAACTTTTTAAGGGTCTCAGACGGTAATGCAAGGCTGTTGCGAGCGTCTGCTACTCTTACATACGTTTACCTTAGAAATGTTGAGCTGAACATCCCTCACAATATCAAGGCTTTTTGGTCGTACGTTAATTCAAGAAAATCAAGCTCCATGGCTCCTGACAGAATGTCAAGAATCAAGAATTTTTATTTCCATAAAATGCAGTTACTTTACTGGAAAACGTCAGTACAACTATAGCTAAAATGAAAATTAAAATAAGACAATGGTACAAGGTTTCTTACCAATATAAAAGAATTAATCCTGAAACTCTTCATGCAGAGAAAAAAAACAGCACACAACACTCGGTTAAGAAACTAAAAAAAAACGACTTACATATTCTTCTTTCAGATCAAAAAAATCTTTATTTTTGTACAAAGGGTTTGCCAAAAGGAGCCCCTCAACCCCTTTTCTGAATTTTGGGTCTGGTAGGTTCCGAGCTACAAAAGGAAGTTTATTAAAAAACGCATAACTAAGGAATATCATTCGACATCTGAACTTTACTTAACCTAACATGTGGTAAATTGAGATCATTTTTCCTACGTGTATTGTAGGGATGGATGTCGCCTCTCAGCTCAAGAGAATCCCATTCCTTCTTGATTTTGATCAAAGACTGAAAAATATAAAGGTTACAAACCGTCATTAAGCTCTTAGCTACAAATATGGGTTTACAATGATCCAAGTAATCAGCACCAGCTACTACTCTAACTGCTTTCTTTTGATAGCGCAGAACTCTCTTGACCCCAGAGGCGGCACCCCAGAGCCTTAGGCCATACAATAAAATACTCTGAAAGAAAGCAATATTAAGCAGTTTTCAGCCAGTCCTTTGGTACAAAATATCTCAATCTTCTGAGTAGACACAGAGCTCTGGAAAGTCTAGCACAAACATGGCTAATCTGGTCATTCCAGTTTACTTTATTGTCAAGATGTAAGCCTAGAAGTTTGACAGATTTCACACTATGTTCTAAGTTTCTTAGGCTAAAGATTATTGACTTAGTCTTAGTCTCATTTAGAAAAAAGTGATTTGCTCGGAACCAGGCCGATGCACCCTCAAGAGATCGTTTCATGGCTTCCTCAAGATCTCCCAGTTCATTGCTAGTTTCAAAGAGTGTAGTATCATCTGCGTAACAGATGACACCTTGCCCCAAACACAATGCGAGATCATTTAGCATGACATTGACAAGTAAGGGACTAAGAATTGAGCCCTGAGGTACACCATGGGTCAATTGCTGTACACTGGATTGTCTACCATTTATACAAACCAGCTGCCCACGCCCAGTCAGGTATGATTTAAACAGTTCAAAAAGTTTCCCCTTAACCCCATAGAAATTTAACTTTCCCAGGTGGGTGTCATGATCAACCATGCCAAAGGCCTTGCTGAGGTCACAAAGAGTGGCCCCAGCAAAGCCCCCATCCTCAAAAGACTGAAAAGCTGCTTTTATTAACTTGTCAACAGCATCAGTAGTGCTGCGGTGAGGTCTGAAACCAAACTGGGCAGCTGAGAAAAAATTGTTTGCTTCAAAATACAAAGAGAGCTGTTCTTTAATAATAAATTCAAGGATCTTAGAGAAAGATGGCAGAATATAAATTGGTCTAAAATTCTCTGGCAGGTTGGGATTGCCTTTCTTGTGATTAGAAAATATTAGTAATTATGATGTATAGTATAGTATATTTGTATTGACCTGGCTAATGCAAACTGTATAATTGTTAATTTGGCCCAATAAAATGATTTGATTTGATTTTATTTGTGAATAGGCACAACCCTAGCAATTTTTAAAACATCATGGAAAATACCTTCTAAAATACAACAATTGATACAGTAAGTTAATGGGCTAACTATAGAGAAAATGATCTGTTTCACAAAACTAGTAGAGCTATTATGTCTCTGATAGAAGAATTCTTTAACCCTTGCACTACAGATATGACTTTATCACATGAAACTGGGGACATGTGAAAGGTACTAGTAGGTGGAGGATGTTTTCCCAGTAGTTCTAGGCCAGAGGTAGGGGGGATTCCAATAGCGTCACGGGTCTGTTGGACCGAGTTCACAAAAAATTCGTTGAACTCACTGGGTGTTAGGCTGGTCGACTGTAAAGGCTTTGTTGGGACCACTTCTCTCTTTATAACAGTACAAGCTGCAAAACAAGGATTTTGTGCAGATTCAATGAATTTAACATTACTCTCAAATCTGGCAAGCTTAAGGCTTTCTTGGTATTCATTTTTGACTCGCAGATATCTTGCTTTAGCTTCAGGAGTTTTGGATACCTTGTACATATCATAGGTTAAAAGTTTCCACTTTCTTAAGGTTAGTAAAGTGGGATTGCCTGTATAGGGCTGGATGGAGTTTTTTAGATTCTTACGGGGCCGGAGGGGTTTTTTGGGAAACCACTCGTTAACCAACATTAGAAAAGTATTTAAAAACTGGTTCAATTTTTGGTTAGCATTACCACCTTGAAGTAGAACATACCAGTCTATGTTAAAAAGATCACCCACAAAGCTATGTATTTTACTTACAGGAAAGGGCCTATACAACTTAGATATAGTACCATGCTTCGAGACGTTTCCATCTGCCTGCTTATCCCTTAGGCTAAACTTAATTGCTTCATGGTCTGCAATAGCATAGCCAGTGTTGGGAAGTAGCGCGCTACAAGTAGCGGCGCTACAGTAGCGCGCTACTTTTTTTGTAGCGTTAGCTGTAGCTACGCTACTTTAAAGATTTTGTAGCTTTAGCTGTAGCTAGCTACATTTTTTAAGTAGTTGTAGCGGAATTTTAGCTACTTTTCTCGCTACATTAACATTTGTTTGAGATAGTGATTTTTATCATAACCTCAACCTTACGTGAAACAACCTCTTTCAAACTGAGATTTTCAAAAAAATTAGGCCTACTTTCTTGGCTTCAAACAGCTGGTTGCAGCCGTTTCATTC